GCATTTACTCTTGCGGTGGTTTTCAATTACGAACTCCTTTGTTGTTGAAAGGCAATTCCAGCCATTTCAGCTATATTTAATCCTTTGAATCGCATCCGTACGTAACTTAAAAGCGTTTGCAATTTGTGTTGTAAACACATCTTTTCGGATTGTGTATTTATAGGGTGCTGGTCGCGATTAATCATGTTTCTACGTCTTCCAAAATACACGGGAATGCTTTAGGAATTGTTTTCAAAGTTAGAAAATTTTAATGTACGTTAATGTGTTCTGTATGTTCGACTACTTGTTCTTATTAAAGCTATTCCAGAAAAGGTATTTACGAAAGAAACGTTCGCAGAAAAGGTAATTTGTATATCTTTTTTTTTTCTCTCTTTTTTTTGTTTTGTTTCAATTCATAAGGCACTATTTTTAACGCGCAATTAAAACATTTCTTTCAAATTAATTGCTTTTTAACTTTACAACTTATATTAAAATAAAAAAATTACTCTTTAATTACAGTCAATTCGGGTAACTTTGAATCGTGGTGTAACTTTGAACGTAGTTGCGTAAAAGATTTAAAAATTTATTTTATGTAATCTTTTATTTTTAGTATTGAAACTGTGTAAATCGGAACAAAATTGTTAAACAAAAGTTATGAAAGAAAAAAGTAATGCTAAATTGTATTTTTTTAAACTTTCACGGTTTTTTCTTAGCGAAAGTAGTTTGGTGTGATTTGTTGCTCAGTTTTAGAATCGGAATTAAATATATAAATCTGAATATTGACTGGTAAGTTTTAGTTTCCACACTTAAGTAGAGGTTTATATATCGCTTTTATAAAGAATAATTTAATTTGGCTTTGTATTTACGCGTAAAACGAATTAGATTTTGACGACGTTACCAAACAGAGAAATTTGGGTAACTTTGAATGTGTTTGACTGTATTTTTAGAGAAGAGGGCAGTCTGTTTCCAGGGAGAGTTCTAAAAGTTACTCCTTTGGAAATTACTGTCTCAGTGCTCCAAAAATGCTTTTTAGGAGGTTGGTCTTGGCCCTCTAACGTTGAGACATGTCAAGTTAATAAAGCCGATATTGTGAATATAATAAAAGAGCAACAACTATCTAGAAAAGGCGGCCGTATTTATATTGATGACTACATTTTATTCAAGGAGTGGGGTGAATAGATTTTTGTTATGTATTTACTTTGCCTAAAATAATTGTTATAGGTGATTCATTTTGATCTCGTTTGATAGCTAAATAAGCGTAGAATTTATTATTAAACAGAAAATTTTCATTTTTATTCGCATTAATTAAAAAAATCTAAAAAATAAACAAGTTTTTCATTTCAACTAAATTAGTTCGTCTCGTTTTATTATGGCAATACCAAGTCAAATGTCGTTTTTGAACGCACTGTCAGGATGTACGCACATGTCGTATAATCTTACACAAACTGTAAAATATCTAGAAAATATACGGTTTCCATATCGAAGGCTAATCTTATTCAAAGTTACCCAAAATTCAAGGCAACTTTGAATGTTACTTTTGGAGCAAATCTAGAACAGTTTTGTTGAATAATTACTAAATTCCTTCTATAAGAACGAAAAAAGGGCTTAAAAGAACACTATTCAGTTAATAAAGTAATTGTTAAGAAACATAATTAAATTTGAAATTATTAGAAAAACGTTCAAAGTTACCCGAATTGACTGTAGGTATAAACCATTAATAATTTGCAATTAATGGTGTTCTACTAATCAGATGGGTCTTAATATTAACAAATGCTCACACATAAAATGTTCTAGAAAACTAAATAATATTTATTCTAATTATAAAATTGACGGACATTTGTTGCGGGAGGTGGATAGTATCAGTGATCTGGGTGTGCTGCTTGACACCAAATTGACGTTCATACCTCATATAGAAAAGGTTTTCCAAAGTCCTGGATTTTGTCGTAAGGAACATAACGGTATCCCTCTCTCCTGCTACAAAAATACTTCTTTATATTAGCCTATTTCACAGTATAATGGAATATTCTAGCCCGGCTTGGCGCCCTCATTATGCGAATCACATGTTGAGGCTTGAGCGAATACAAAATAGATTTCTCTGGCACTTAGCGTACTCAGAGGGTTAGCCAGAAAGTTGGGGTCGTATTCTAATAGACTTGTGCATTTTAAAATGTTATCGCTTGCAGAGAGGGGAAAATTATTGGACTTAATATTTCTTTATAAGGTTTTGCGCTCGACATAGACTGTCCACAACTGTTAGCTAAATATAGCTTCAAAATTCCCTCAAGATACCTAGGTTTTGCTATTGCTTCTTTAGTGCCATCATTCCTTAAGACCTTTCTGGGATTTAATCCTGTATCCCAAGGCTCTGCAGACTATATAATAAGCACAGTCACGTGTGCGATATATTTTGGCAGTCGTTGCACAAATTTCGTATTAGTATTATGTTAAACCTTAATTAATTTTTTTTCCGCCATCTAGTTTGATGCTGTCCGAGACCCTTGTTCACTTGTATTTATTGGTTTTGTTTGTATCACTTTTTTCTTTTTTTTTTCATTTAAGTTGCTGTTTTTAAATTCTATATAATTTACATTTTACGTTGTTCAAGCTGTGTTTACTCATAAGTAATTGTGCAATTTAGATAAGAACTTCACCAAATTGAATTTATAGTATGTTACATTGTAATAACTGTAAGTGAACTAATAAACTATAAAAGAATTACCATTACAATTCATTCCATTTACAAAAGTGACACAAAATTATGAATAAAATTTTTACGTAAAATGTGCCAGACAACCAAACCCATCGCCAGGTCTCAAACCAGGGAATTCCGTGTACCTTGAGTACCAGAGCAACGGAATTTACTTTGGGGCACTTCTCAAAACAGCCAGATCAGAACCAATTTAGAAAAGTTCGTTTCTCAAATTGATTCTACCGGAAATGGAACCCGAGACGTCCGCATCCAGCGCCCAAAGTGTAATACATTAGGCCACCGAGGTCGTCTGTAACTGAACCTAATTTATGTTTTGAATGTTGAGGCTTTGCTTATAAAGTATGGTACTTTACGTAGTACGTATATTATGGCAGTCATATATAAGATCTGTACTTGCCCTAAATAAAAAATATTTTGATTCCAACAGAGATATAAATTTTTCCCTAATATCAACACTATTTTTCTTCCAATTTACATCCGACTGGAATCGGTATGGGATTCAAAATGTACGAATCAGATTTATGCGATGACCAGTTCCAAATCGGGTTGAATTCTGCTATTCTCGTTTTAAAATCAACAAAGCTGTTTTCGTTCAAAAATTCCACGAGGATCGTCCCAATCGGTATTGGTTTCGTGAATACTTTATGATTATTCAGGGGATTAATCTCAACAGCATAAAATATTCATGAAGGGCATTTTCACACTTTGATTTGCGAGAGTTTTGTGTTAATAAGATTCTACTTAATTGCAGATAGCTTCCGTCATCATATTACGTTTAAATGGAAATTTCCACTATTGTTTTTACGTTACAGTCTGTCGGTATAAGACTGCGATGCCGATAAAAGAACTGGACTTGTCACGCTATACGTACTGTTTTATTTTTCAATGCCTCTTTCACATTATTGGACAATCCGATGCACTTTCTGAAATAGCTATTGGTTCGAGTGAATAATGTTTTGTATTTCGAAATTCGAAATCTCCGACCTGTACTGGCTTGAGCTAATCCAATTTGTGGAATGTAAGCTCGGTTTAAGCCTAGGCAGTTGACAGACGCCAGTTATGTATAGTCGGCGCCTGGTACAGTTTTATACAACCCCGCTTTTGGCGCGATTCCATATGCTTGCATACATTTTCTTCGGAAGTGTTCATATTCGCCTTTTATATTTTTTCGGCCACTAATTTACTACGCAGTACCTTTCGAATATGAATTCTTGGAATTCAATACGGTGTTAACAATTTTACATGTACAAATAAATGTACCCGTAGACTCGCATATTGCCAAAATTTTGGACGTAAACAAATTACAATAGTGAAGAAATAGATTTCTTACCGAGATGGCGCTACGGGAAAAGTCATTGAAAAACCAGAACAAAACATCTGCAACAAACACATACAATAATTCGTAAGGTCCGCTGATTCGTATCGTGGCTTAGTTGACATAGCGTCCGCCACTGTTTGCTAAAAGACATTGGTTTGAATCCACGTTTCATTATAATGTATCTACACCGGGCGTTTGCGTGATCGTAAACGTAATATATCTCTATATGAAGTTACTCTGTCCAAACAACTATAGTCAATTCCTTGCCTGAAACCCAAACCACATGCTCATGTTATAGTAAGGTAGAATGTAAAAAGACCATCAAATTCTGGCTTAAGCATAAGACTTATGATGATACAGAAGGCTTGCTATAAGTTATAATAAATGTAGCAATAAACTTTAGTAAAACGAAAGTATACACAAACAGATGTCTAGAATACAGGTACTCATTTACTTAGTGTACCCATTGCAACTACACTATTATGTTCTAAGATTTACGAGTAATCATGTAGCTTTGTGAAGATTGTATAATAATTAAGATTCCTTTTTTATTGTTTATTCTTAAAATAGCTTCCTTTACATTTGCTTTACTTGTATTAGATTAAGTTATAATCTAATAAATATATCATTATCTTTATTATCTTTACAATCGTGTTAAATAAGCTTGAAATACATACCCACTGGCAACAGTCGAAGTCTGCGGTGTGCACTCTACCTTCCAGGTCTGATTGCGCTGTGGGTCTGTACCCTCATTTACTAGTACGCATGAGCGAAATGGTCGCCTCTCAATTAGACATTCTGTTAATGAACGCTGTAAACTACAAGTGAACCGGGTGTTGTGTCTCTTTGACAGTCTAGTTGAGTGCTAACGTCAATTGAATTTTTAATTGAAGTACTCGCATGTGGGACTGTTGTCGTGCTTAGACTAACATCTAGTTAAAATGACCGAAATGACTGTTGCGTTGTAATAATTGTTGGATATTATTGTTTCAGGACGAAAGATTCAACCACGACATTGATCAACAGACGGGCTACAAAACGAGGTCTCTCCTCTGCATGCCAATTAAGGATATCAACGGAGAAGTTATCGGTGTCGCCCAGGTGAGATGATTAACATTTCTGTGTTTCTTTTTTCAATCCGGAAGCATGATTAAAAAGAAGAAATAAGAAACTACCCATAAATGAGGTTATCGCAAAAGTGTTGTAACATATGTGTTTTTTTTTCTAAAATATTACTTTAAATGATATAATATTATTATTAAACTAGTGCTTTATTATACAAATTTTATGTGGTTTACACCACTTTTACGCTAGCAACCTCAAATCACGATATCCAAATCTTAATCTAAATTTGTTTACAACATTTGTAAAAAGCTTCGCCAGAAACATTGCGTGAAATGGGAAATTAGTGACTAACAAATGATAAATAAAATTAAAAAGTTTAGAAGCTTTTACCGTATTTACTTATAAATATTCCAAAGTAATTGAAACAAAATTGCTTCGTGAAAACGTTATAACTTATTTCATAATAATATGCCTATTTGTGCCCGGGGCTCAAGAGGAAATGAATTGTTATTTCAAGTGTGAATAACCGATGAAATTTTACTTGATAGGTTTATTTTATTTTCAATTTTGTCTAATGTGATTTTACTAGTTGTATATATATTAGAATATTTATTATTAAATTTATATTGCATTTATATTCAATTTTTTTGTGAAATTACGCCACTAATTTATTATAATTGTTAATAAAAAGATCGAACACTGGCGGGATTCGAACCGACGTCTCTTAGCAAACTGTGCCAGTATAGCTCCGTGTGAAAGAGTTCGTCCAGGTTAGTAATGCCACCTTACCTATTTCTGCCGCCAAGCAGTAATGTCAGCATTACTGTGTTCCGGTTTTGAAGGGTAAGGGTGCTGGTGAAATTACAGGCACATGATACGGGCGCAGTGGCAGTGCCCCTCAAATCTTTGCGATTTAAAGCTCTGAGTGGCATTGCAACTTTTATGGGCAGGCGTGTAGCTTACCATCAGGTGCACGACTTGTTCGTCCCGTCACTAGATATTATAAAAAAAGTCTTTGCCAACTAAACATAGTGTCTTAGCTGCGTAGTATACTTGGCATAGCCTCTGCCACGGTTTGCTAGGAGACGTGGTCGCGCGTCGGTTCGAATTCGGCCGGATTGAAGGATTTTTTTTGTAGTGTTCGATCTTTGTATTAATAATTATATTTATTATTAATTATACATAATAGGTATTATGTATAAGGATGCTTTAGTCGCTCATAGTGCTAAGGAACAGCTATTTAAAAGTTACACTACAATAAGGTACACTAATAGTAGTTTTTCTATGGCATACACTATGTTATTACGGTCCAGAGCCACACTGATCGCGCCACAAGTAACCGCCATGGTGAACTGTGCACAGGATAAATGTTTGCCATTCTGGTGAAAGCATTTGCCAATCGGCGTAAGGTATTCGCCGATTGTAGCCCACACTAGGAAAACGATTCGTATGTCATCGCGGGGAAGCTCCTTTATTGCACCGCACTAGAAATTTTTAGTCTGAAAAACGATTACATTTACGTCTGACAAAATATTTTATGCTGTGGATGGATTTGTATTTTTAAGCGATTTGGTTCATGACGTCTAGTTGTTACACGTCCAATTCCCCGAACGTCTGGTCTAGAACCAGCGAGACGGAATATAGCCTTAAACTCTCTCTTTATTTTTATTTTATTTATTTAGAATGAATAGCCAACGCAATACATAAACAGAGTATAGCTAATAACTTACAATCAAAATACCACAGCATGAGGTTTATGCTGTCAATTTTATATATCAATAGGTTAAAAATTAATGTAATATAATATTATATGATTAATTAATACCTATAAATTTATTTCTATTTTATTTACATTTTTGGTAAACATGAATGTTTTAACTTTTGAAACTGGACAGGGAATGATTAAAAATATTCAAATCAAGTATTTTGTGAAAATGATTATAAGTTTTAACAACTTCTACTTATAGGAGTAGAGATAGCAAGATTAGTTCCGTAGACACGAGTTTTAGAAGGTATAATTTATTGGTCTAGGAATTGTGGACCTGAACTTGCTGACAAATGCAGGAGAATCTGTTGAATTACTTATGGGGAACGGTATACGTTTTTAAAATAAGATTCCGTAGCATATATTAAGGTTATCATTTCCCAAGTTTAAAACTAACATTAAAAGTACATATTTTAATTGAAACGTCATATTACAAAATTAAAGAGTATGTGTTAGACATAGATGTATGGAAAGACAACACGAGTGGATATTCCACACAATTATGATTCAAAGTGTATTCCATAGCATTTAAGATTATTTGAAAAGAGCAATCCCTTGAGGTTCTTGCTCGTTCTAGGGAGGTCAGCGTAGTGAACGAGCAGTAATTTAAAAAATGACGTTTTCAAGTGTAAAAATTTTACCTGTGGAATAAACGATTATTCGACTTTGACTTAGATCCAGCATATTGTATACACCATAGTTCCATTTAGACATTCGGGGAATTAGATGTCTGTAACTAACCAGTTTTTAAGTTAACGCCTAAGTGTAGTATCTCAATCATCAAGCAAGCGATTTTATATCACCTAAGATACCGATATTTATAAACTTTCTAATATGTCATACATTTGTAGGTGATAAACAAACTGAACGACGGTGCTTTCACACCAAATGACGAGAAAGTATTTTCGGCATATCTTCAATTCTGCGGCATTGGACTCCGGAACGCGCAGCTATACGAAAGGTCCCAATTGGAAGTGAAGAGGAATCAGGTGCTGCTGGATTTGGCGCGGATGGTGTTCGAGGAGCAGAGCACCATAGAGCTCATGGTGCTCAGGATATTAACACACACGCAGAGTCTTATACGGTGTCAGCGGGTGCAGGTTAGAAAATATTCAAGTATTTCAAAATTACTAATTACATCCACATGGCTTGGTTGTTTACAACTTATTTATAGCGTATAGTGTCAGATATTCTCGGCTAGAATGCCTTTTATACATTCTTTTTTTATCTTTTTTTTATTATCACTTAATTTATTAGACACCATTCTCACAAGTACAATTATTTCTGAAGTTACGTAAAAAATAAGCGAGAACTTTGAACTTCAGTGTTACCAAGTCCCTTGAACCAAATATTACTACTGTTCTCTTTTATTTTTGTATGTGATTATACGCGATTTGTGACCTGATTTTGATGATTCTTTTTTGTTGGAAAGAGGGTACCTCCGGCATTGGTCCAATTTAAATTTATAGAAAATATTCCACCTCTAAGGGAGGCAAACTAGGGGATGAATCCGGTTTCGCGCACGAGCTTTTTCCACAAACTTAATTCCACCAACTTTTGATGTTGTTTTTCCTTTTTTCAAAAAAGTTATTGCTTGCAAAAGTTACATTTTTGTTTTTATTTAGAACAAAATGTGTTTACGATGTAGTATATTTATATATGCTTACATCCTAAAAAAGCAGGCGCGGTTAACAAAAATCAAGCTGTTACTAGTAATTGGTAGACTTAATTTTGTATGCGCCACCGGTGGCTTTGATTTACAAAACTTTGACATTGATTAAGCAAAGACGTAGAGCAAAGCATGTTTTTCTCATTTAAAAACGAACTTTGCCTAAATTTAAGCAAGAAGTTAAATGAAACTTAATTTTTTTTTCTTATTTCTTGCTTAGGGAAAGTACATTTTGTAAATGCGAAAAAGTTATCTTGCGGATTTTGCTTAGTGGAAGCCAAAATTAGTTTTATTTATTGTCTTATTTGAGTTCGTTTGTAAACTATGTAGGATTTACAATAACAAATATACTTGAATTTATAAAATCCTAATAAGTTACAAAAACTGCTTAAAAACAAAAGTTACGTACGTACGTGTGAGGATCAAAGGTTACGAAAAATTTAAGAATTGTAGCCATCTGGCAACACTGGTTCTTTAAAACGATATTCGAGATATGCGACGGGTGCGCAAGATTGGTACACCAGCTGTTTTATCTTAAAATGAAGTTCTTGTATAATCGTGTAATGTGTAGTATTATAAGATGCAACAGTACTCAAAACTCCGTTTGTGTAATCCGTAATACAATTTCAGTTTTATTGAGCTTAGCAAGCGGGTACATAGATTAAAAAGGTATTCTTTTTTTGTTCGCGAGTTATCTATTATGTATGAGTTTACGACAAAGCATCATTAAGCTTTGAATATGCTTGCCGATTCTTCAGCGGCACGAAGTTTCTATAGATTCTCAAACAGGCGTCAAGCCTTTAGCCTCGTTTGCAGACTTAACACGGAAATTTGCATATGTTTTGTTTGAATCCCTCAAATAGAAAACGCGCTTTTGTCTCGCAAATGACTAAGAAATTCGCGTAATGTTTATTAATACATATTAAACCTTTTGTAAAAAAAATCCTTCGAAAATTTATTGGAATTTGTTGAAGTACTACGTCATGATATTGTTAATGGTTGTTGATAATAAATATTTAAAGGTATTGTAACCTGCTTTTTATTAATTTAAACATTTCAATGTTATTTCTTGCAATTATTATTTTGTTTCATTTATTTTCACACACATACCAAAAAATAATAATTTACAGAAATGAAAAAAGTTTATTATACAATTTACAGAAATAATTAATAAAAAAATAATTATAAAAAAAACAAAATACAAACAATTAAATCAAAATAAGAATAAACGGATACGAGCTCAGGAAAGTATTTAAATCAGTTTCCAATGATTTCAAGTCTGATTTTCAACACTACCCGGCCATGGCAGCTCTACGTGGTCGATCAAACATACAAATCGCAAACAAACATCAAATTGAAGATGAAATTATTGATGAAAATTTTCATTTTATTATTAATGACAATAATGAAATGAAAATAATAACAATGAGACGAAAATAATACTAACAAAAGATAAAGTTACTCTGTACAATTATTCTACATATTATATTCTACAAAATAATATAGACATAGCACAGACAGCAGTTTTTTCTTTTACCTTGCGTTCAGGTACCTACTCACTTGTCGTTAGAAAATTAGGTAAGGAAACTATTTTTCGGACTTAAACAGCGTATATTTGTTTTTTTCAAACAAACCAACGTTTCGGGCCCCTTACGGTTCTCATGGTCACAGCTGACTGTAACGACCAGTAAAGGCCCCGAAACATTGATTTGTTTAAAAAACAAATAATTTAGAAAAAAAAAAAGATTGAGATCCGAAAATAGTTTAATTTCCTATGTATAAAAAACGCGAAAAACGTTAGAAAATTAAGTCGTAGTCAGATATAAAGCTGGAAATAAACATTAAAGCGATCGAAGGTGCTATATTTATATAGGAAATAGTAATATTTTGCTTCCATTCAAGTATTTACGCACGAAGTTAGCATTTCGCATCGGCGTTAATTTATTCCAATAGGCTTATCGTAATATAAGCGATCCTAAATAAACAACCTGATCCAACCCGACCGTACTTCGCCATTTCATGCCCGAACATTTGGAGTTGATTCTGTTAACATTGTGTTGTACATGTATGACTGTAAAAAGCCAGAACCTTTTAGTAAAAAGAACTAAATTAACTTTAATTAAAAATACATTCCCGCCGGTACTTCAGTTCCGATCTTGACAGATCCGTCTCTACATAATATTTGATTAAGATTAAAATCGTTTAAATAGTCACTTTTCAACGTCGACATTCGGACGAAAATGATCACTGTGCTAATAACGTGTACGTTTCTTTTAATTTATGCCTTATGTGTTGCTTTTTCGCTTTAAATATTTTAGATTTTCGATGTATTTTATTTCTAATTTTGGCTCAGGTGCGTTTTTTTTAACGTGTTCCTAGTCGTTACCAGCTATGGTTGAATCATTAAGAGATATGCACACTATATTTTTTTTTATAATTAATTATAATTTTCAATCGTTTATTGTCTCGAATGACAACATTGACTTACAAATAAATGGACGACGGGTCTAATACAAAAACCACGAAAAAAATGTTCCAAGTCAACCTATTTAAACGTAGTGACATGTAAAGGAATATGAAAAAGCTAAAACGTTGAATTTCAATTGTAATGTCATCGCAGTACTGTCTAACTTTGCTTGCTTCGCTGTCAGAAGAAACAAACGAAGACTAAAGCGTGAATGACGCTCTGCATACGATTTTAACGCCCTATAAGTTCGGACACTTTTTAGCGCGGACCCGACGACTGACGTCCAATGTAAGTCAATGTATGACAAAGTTATTTTAATCTCTCAAATCTAATTTATCAAAGCGTCCATACTGTCCTGAAACTTACAGATATTGAGATACTGGCACCTAAAGTTTTTTTTTAATAATGTCAATTACGCTGATTATGCTTAACAATAAAACTGAAATGAAATAAGATATTAAAATAAAAACGATAAAAGGGCATTGTAGATCTCGTTTCTCTGATTCCAGATAGTCAATTACTCAATTTCGCTAAAAAGTCGATTATGTTAGTTATAATAAGGAAGGTTGCATAGGTGTGTTACTATTAGTCGTCTTAGTGGATCGGTGGAAACACCATAAAGGTTACCTTTTATCCGATCATCTAGGCAAATCCAGATGCTTTGTTCCAATTGAATTCTATCTTATCCCAGTGTGCAGCCACGAGTATGTTCGTTAAATATATCTATATCTTTCAAGGAATACAGACAATATGGAATATTATTCTTGTATCTCGCCGACATTTATCTGCGCTCTTTCCACTCGCCTCAGGGACGAATGTAATCCGTGTACACTTATTGGATTTCACTCGACACTATTTCAAGTAGCTCGCCGTAACTCGTCTGACGGCGAATGAGTTAGTGATAATCGACACTGCAATAGAGTTGAGATAAGAATTTCGTACATAAAGTGCATTTTATGGTATTCAAGCCGCAAACAACCAGACACTCCCACAAGCAACATCGAAGTAATACCAAATGCGTTTCCGTGGCATGTGCCTGTAATTTCACCAGCCTCCTTACTCTTCCAAACCGGAACGCAGAATTGAAGCTCATTACCGGTTGGCGCGCTTGAAGGCAAGAGACGCGTTGGAAGACATAAAAAGTCATGGTTACGCAACATGAGGGACAGGGGGTCTACTCTCGATCTCCGTCCGACATCCGTCCGAAACAATTACTGTCAAATAAGTAATATTCGACAAAATTAAAAGACAAGTATCAAGTATGAAGCTTCATTCGCATCACGCGTCTTTTCATTTGGTCAAGTATTGCTTATTTGGCAGTAATTGTTTCGGACGGAGATCGAGAGTAGACCCCCTGGATCGGAGTCACGAGCGCGGAACAACAGTTTCGTTTGGCCATGGACAGGGACAAATTTGCCATATTGACGGCTAACTTCCAGTAGTGGAGAGGCATTTTAAGAAGAACCGCTTGGCGGCAGAATTGGGATAAGGTGGCAGTACTTTCCTGGACAAACTTTTTCACAATGACCTCTATTGCTACTAAATGTTGTCTTTATGTTCAAGTGTGCAGGTATTACTAATATTATTGATTAGTAATACAGCAGTACTTAGAAGCTATCTTTTTTGACATCCTAAATTACACCTAAAGAAAAAATGCTGAGGGATACAACTGTCCGACTTACTCTAAACGTGACGGACTTGTAATGTGTCACTTATGAATGTCAAGTTTGAAACTATTTATTGAAACTATTTATAGTTTTAGTAGTATTCTCGACGTATTTATTTATCTCTTTACCTTTACTCATACAGTATCAACAACAGAAGTTTCAAGCTTACGTCTATTACTTGTATCACAAGACGTCACAAGTTTGTAACCAAGTTTGAAAACTGGAACATGATGCAGTCATTTAGTCCGGAATTCATCATAAAGTCTAAGTTACGTAATCGTTATTACTCGTTAATAA